ATAGACTGCCAATAAGGTTTGATTTCCACTCTCTAATAATCTCTGGGCCGAACAATTTTCTTCCTTAAATGCTGCAGCTAGTTCATCCAAATTTGTCAGTTTCTCAAAAACTTTTAAAAATGATTTTTTTCCCTTTTTAAAAAGCGCAGAAGTTGTGTCACAGCCACTTAATGCGTGCAGAAATAAAATATGTGTTTTGAAATGAGGATAATTATCAAAACTTTTAGTCGAGTATATCTCCGTTTTTACATTTCCTTTCCCAACTTTTTTAAAGAAAATTTCTTGTTCGTAAGACAGTATACGCCCAATTAAAATGACAAGTAAATCAATATCTTTCCTATTATAACTGCAGTTTTTTCAGACTTTGATTCTTCAATTGCAGTTTCATCAATAAGAACATCCGCATCATCTCTGGCTTGTTTAGTAGTAATATTTGCAGCTTTTAATTTTTCAATTAACATATTAATGAGCATATCTTTGTTATTTCGATTTGATAAGAATTTTTCTTGAGTAAATGGTACAACCATTGTTTCATCGAAATAGACTTCATACGTTTTTAAAAGTGCAGCAGTTCTTCTCTGCTGCTCCATAGCTTTTACGTTCTTACTGTAGTCTGAATTTTTTTAAACAAAATTTGTAGAGAATTTTGTATTCTACAATATTGATAATAAATACAAATAGCAAAAAACCCATAGGAAATGAGATATTTACAAAAAAAAGCGCAAAAAAACGATTTTTGTGACCTTTGACCTTGAAATTTAATAGTTGCGTACACCCTACCATATGTAGGTTTTGAGACAACTTTTAGGGTGTCAATATACAAGTATTTACAAACTTACAGCTGGGTATCTCGAATTCCGAGATTCTTACCTAATTTAAGCTTAAATGACTGGACTATAATAAAAATAGTAGTTACGAAAGATATCTATAAAAGATATGAACACATTAGCTATGAAATATATCTATAAAAGATATGGAAAATATCTATACACAAATCTGGTTTTAAAGATACATAAAATAATTGAATTATGGTAAAAAATGTACTAATTATATATACATAGGAAAAATTATTATATATTAATAAACCTCAACAATTCAATAGCCGAAGGGTATTTGATAATCCAGAAGTATAATAGGTATGCTTATTAATTTTAAAAAGAAAGTCAAATTTTAATACTTAATACTAGAGGAACATCCATAATTCCTAGATTATAGAAAATTCACAAGAACTTGAAGTTCAAGTTCAGTATTATAATTTAATATTAATAAATAAATTAAGTCAAATAATGTGGCAATGTAAACTCGGTACATAATACCTAATTAAATATAAATACAACTGATACCCAAAGTATGGTAAATTGTTAACCTAGGAAATAGATATATACCTGTGGTGTACAAAGACATTTGTCTTAAAGGAAATATAAATAGGTTTATACCATATGAAAAAGAAAATATTAATAAACTGAAAATATATATGCTACACTTTAAAAGTGTAGAACAAAAATCATAGCGAGATTAAAATAAAAAAATAAGCATCCCTGCATTGCAAGTTATATCATTAAAATAAAATTAAGTCTTACGGACCACACTGAAGTTTTGCTTATGCCTAGACAGGGCACATGCACTCCATTAGGTTGTACTGGTGGTTGATCAGTAAAACATGATCGGGATTGTGGTTCAGCAGATCCCATGGTTCCACAGCTCAGGATTACAATTAAATGTCCGGCCTCGGCAAGCCGGTACAAAAATTCAATGAGTTCTTCTTCAAACTCCTGGATAGCATGATGGAATTCGGAATTCCGCAGGGCTTCACACCTGGGATGTTAACATAAAATAAATGTTTGCCTTGTGGCCACGTCGTGGACATGGGCTAACACCATCAACAAAATGAAGGACACCAACATGGATTCGTCCTCTGTAGTCATGAAAAACCATAACCAACAGAGTAAAGGTAATAAGGTTCACTTATTAATGAAAATAAAATTAAAAAAATCTGATGTGTCCAACACATGACTTTTCTATCTAGTTATTACAGGCTTTTTCCGGTTATTTTGTACAACCTATTGCAGCACCTCCATAAATGTTTAGAGGATAAAATAAATATATACATTTTCCACATACATCTACCTCGAAACATTTTTCTATAGATATTCTTTGAAAATGAAAATACTAAAAAATTTAAATTTAGCACTTTTCCTACAATTTTTCCATTACGGTCCATTTTAGAAAAATTATGTATGAACAAAAATTATAGAGATCGATATCGCAAACAACTTTTATTTCAACAATTTTCATAAAAATCAGAATTTTGCACATTTTGTCAAATTTCTCGAATACGGACCATTTCAGGAAATTTTGACATAAAGCAAAAATTATAGATAATAATATTAGAAATAACTTTTATTTGAACAATTTTTTTCTCCAAACATAAATAACAGATATATTCCATAAAATATAAAAACGGCCCCCCATAAAGTACCCCCCAGATGTTCCGACTTTGTCCAAAATCTAATCATTTCACGTCAGGCCGAAATAAAACTTAAGTTTAAAATTTAATGTTTTTTTCTTTATCCGTTTTTGAGTTTTCTTCAAATTTCAAAATTTACACATTTTCTCAAATATCTCGAATACGGTCCATTTTAGAGAAATTATGTATAGGATAAAAATTATAGAGAATTATATTACAAACAACTTTTGTTTGAACAATTTTTATAAAAAAATATTTTTTTACATTTTGTCAAATTTTTCGAATACGGACCATTTTAGGAAAGTTTTGTATAGAATAAAAATTTTAGATAATAATATAAGAAGTAACTTTTATTTGAAGAATTTTCTTCCCCAAACGTAAATAACAGATATGTTTCATAAAATATAAAAATGATCACCTATAAAGTACCCCCCCAGATGTTCCGACACTGCCCAAAATCTAATCAGCACATTGGACGCTGGAACAAAGCTTAAGTTTGAAATTTGGTGTTTTTCTGTGTATCGGTTCATGAGTTATGCGACACACAGACACACACACAGACATCATCGCGAAAATAGTCAAAACTGATTCAGGGGACCTCAAAACGTAAAAATCCGTCGAAAACTCGAGGTCGAAAAAATCATGATTCCTATACTTTCCTTATATCTGTATACAGATAGGAACGTAAAAATTGTTAAAAACCTACCCTTCACTGAGGGGCGCCATCCAAAATAAATCAGCGGCAAGGCACATAAAAACTCGTACCACACGACACCTTCCTGAAACTTTTTAACGGTGTTCACCTGCTTAATTCAAAGCGAAAAAAAGAATTTTACGAACAACGAACTGTCAGGTGTAATTGCTGAAGAATCGGCCGTGGCTATTGAACCGATCAAATTGTGTGGATCCATAACTTACACGAAATCCGTATATTAGATAAAAAATAATGATTTAATTTAGTTTAAATCCAATGAATATTGTTTTATTTAAATATTTAAAATGTTTTATTAGTAAAGAGTTTAAAAGTGAATTTATTTTTAATTTTATAATTTCTGATGTACAGGACAGTAGTCACAACCAAGATATTGTTAAGTGTGAATTAGCCGAAATACATTAAAATGTATTTTGAATAGTTGTACATAATTGTACTAGTAAATTTAAATATTTCATTATATTATAATATTTTATGTATCTTCTAAAACTTAGAAAAATAAAACGCTACAAAATAATAATTTAGACACCCACACCTGAAATTTCCTGATCTGACAAATTTATTACTCCGACTCGATCACGAATCTACTATAAATATGATTTCACCTGTACAATCTGAGCATGTATATCTTTTACGTTTGGAATTTTGCAGTTATTTTTGTAGTGATATTAGTGTTGCATTTTGTATGCGCCATTTTGCACATTGTATGCATTGAATCGCTTAACCATTTGTAGTTGATTTGTTGCATAGCGGACATATTACATTTGTCATTTTCTTTAGCCTCGAAACTACGCGAATTTTCTCACAAGTTGGCAATGGTGTTAGCTTTTATACCCAGTTGACTTTCACAAACCAGTGTCAGATTGCTGTTTTTTTTTTTTTTGATTTTTCACCGTTTAGTTATTCTCCTTCACTAATACTTGGAGTATAAGTGTCTAATTTCACATTAAACTGCTTTTTACAAATTATTTTTCCGTAATTTTCGATATTTTTAACTTAGCTTGACTAGCGGTATAAACAGTAGTTTCAACCACGTTGCATGATTGAATAATGAAGCATAATATTTATAGTATACTTGAACTTGATTCAGTTAGATAAAAATAATCTTTACGCCCTCCCACCGAATTCTGAGACAACTATACCTGATGTTTGTTTATGCCGGAAGCCGTTACGGTTAATGTAAAGTTGTATCATATCATTTGACGCTATTGAATTGTTATCACCGTCCTCGTTTATGATAATTCCTCTAAATTTCTGTCACATTCATTCACATTAATCATATAAAAATATATCGCCGTATATTGTTTTACTTTTTAAACTGGGTATGTTTGCGTTCATTACCCTCTACTGGAGAATACATAAAGATTTTTTATGAGACGAGGCCGAAATATAATAAATTACAGCTGATTAAATTCTAATTACTAAATACATTGTATTTTCTATTAACCAAGTTAAAATTAAATTATTTTATGACTTGTTTTCTGCCAATTAACTTTAGGTTACTTTTGAATGTAATATAAAATAAATAGGTACATTAATATAAAAGTAATTGACGTATTAGCGTTATAAAATTTAACTAACATAGTAAATCTGCTAAATAGAAATATTTTCAATTGTTTCTTTTGCAGTATATCTACCTTGTCATTGAAATCAATATAAAACTGATTATATCTTGTTAAATACGTTGGACATCTCCATACTATTTTGTATTGTTATAGTGGAAAAAGCATATTATGTTGTCCAACATGGAAAAGCAATTCAAAAAAATTTAAAGTTAACATATTAGATCGTAAACTTATGTTTCTGGTTTCTGACACACAGTTTCGCCGACCATCACATGGACCATCATCACCAAAATGTCGGTAGCGAAAGACTAACATGGACGGGCGAAAGGGCGGAACCAAAAAGGCAGAAACTCGATATTAAATTGGAAAACGACGATATCAACGACGGGTATTGTTTTCCAGAAACTGTCCGAACCTGTAAAGACAATGTATCGTAAGTAAATATTTGTCTAGGTGTTTTTTTTCGATCATCTAACATCATTGTCTCGCTACTAACAATTTTACTTTGTTATCATTCGCTTTCTAATTTGATATCATTTCTCGATCATTTTCTGATCTGAATATTATTTGTGTACTATTGTACACAATATCAATTCAGAATTATTATTGTTCTTTATTAGTCCAATTGAGCCTGATCGTAAATATCTTTAATTGTATCTATTGACTTTATATTAACCATAAAGCGTATAACAGTCTGATGAAAAATCTTTAAATTCGCAAATAAACAATATAAATTTGTAAATCATATTTTTTACATCGTTAATAAATGGCTTGACTATCATTATTACCCTATTCTCGAACTCATGAGAGTTTTTCTACACTCTCCTAGTCGATTGCTTAATTACCAGTGTTGCCAGCCAACCAAAATCAAATTGTTGTACAATGCTATAGAAATTATCTTTTTTTTAATAATTTTATCGTACAAAACTGACGGAGGGCTGGTTAATTTAAGAGTTTATAAGGTTAGGGTAATTTGATTACAATTTTATAGTGTACACATATAAAAAACAAAAGAAAAAATAACACTTTACCTCATGGTGTTCAGCTAAAGTTTCAAAAATAATTTCTTCTTATAACCCTTGCTGATTGATCTATTATTTGTTTTTGTCTATACATTTCTAAAGATGTTTTGAATATTATAATTTCATATGTAGGTTTAAAACTTACACATCCATTATCCAAAGGACCCCACACGTATTTCCTTATATAAAGTCGCGACCGTTGAAATTTTCTGAATCTGTGGTATGTTATTGTACTCAACCTAGTAACCAAAAGTATCGATAGGCCCAACTCAATTCTATAACTAGTTTTTGATATACAGGGTATTAAAATTGAAAATTATCTAGTTGTCGAAACTTTTATTTTTAAACATACGAGCTAGATTGAACTTCTTTTGTATACACACGTTTACTACATGTTTTAGTAATACATTAGTACATACTGTAAAGCGGGGTTATTCTGGACTTTTTTCGGACCTTTTTGGATGTACCATAAAAAGCGTCAAAGAATAAATAAGTTTCATATCGAGTTTGGATAGGTCTACATATTATATACAAGCTAATGTTACCATGATAAAAAATTTGACCCCCTTTTATAGGAGGTTCTAAAAAAATGTTTTAAGGTCTGTCCAAAATAACCCCTTAGAGCGGGGATATTTTGGAATTGGCAAAAATAACACAGAGTATTTTTTCATTTGGGGATGAAAAAATTACTAAAAAAAAATACAAAATATTAGTTTTATTGATTTTATTACAAAAAAATCGAGAACATTTAAGAAACATAAGTACAAATTCTAAAAAACAACGTAAACCTAAATTAAATTTGGTTTCTTCAGCCTTCTAGCATAATTCGGCACTTAACCAGGAAGTACCTGCGTAGTAAATATAGGAATATTATTGGCAATTATAAGATGATAAATTCTCATTAAATTTAAAAAATACTCTTCTTCCTGTGCCATTTATTTTTGGACTCTAGAATATTTTTTTATATGTTCTTCAAGAACATCGTCTATATCTTTTACATCTTGTGTTAGGAAACGTTCTGTCTTAGAGGATTTTTTAAAAATCTACCGTGTAGGAACACTCTGAATTAGTTTTTGAAATTGATACTACTTTTCCAAAAAAGTAGCATGGTACATTTTTCTCTTATATTCTACCAATACCCAGTCATTTACAATCGGTTTTTTAAGTTCAATCGAAGAATTTGCAGATGGCACGATTTCTTTGAAGTGTATCAATGGTATATTATCATCACTGCTATGTTGGCAAGTCATCGACAATCAAGGGGCTATCGCCTCCTTCATCGGGTTCATATGGTACATCAGATTCGTCAGAAGAGGACGATGATGGTATCGCTGATTTTTTTTAAGTTTCAATTTTTTAGCAACTATTTTTTTTTGGAATCGCACTGGTTTAAGCAACAACATCAGTGGCTGACAAACTCTTTCCAGGCTCTACTGAAACTCTCTTGCGTCTCTGTTTTTGTTGTGATGTTGCTTCTGTACTATGATGCATTTCTTTCAAAATGTCAACCGCAGCAGTAGAAACAACATTATATGTACCTTCGGCGTCTGCTGCTTCAGGTTCAGGGGGAAGTAGTTGCTTTGGCTCGGCAGGATCGAATATGGATGTAGACCAGTTTTACGGAAACCCTAGATGAGATTTTCGGAGGCTTTAACATTTTCATCCAATTTTTGACGAATTTTATTTAGTAGCTATGGAAATACATCTTCTGATTTTACGCCCTTCTGTTTTCTTCCATTTGGTAAGTATCGCTCGCCAATACTTCTTTAAAGGAGCATAGAATGCCACATCAAGGGGTTCCATCAGATGAATTGAGTTAGGGGGTAGGCAGATAAAAGATATGTTCATTTCTTGGCATGTTTGTAATAATATCTGTGAAAAATGTGAGGGTAGGTTGTCGCCAACTAAAATCTGCAATAAAAAATGGGGATTATTATTAAAATAGCAAAATCTTGAATCCCTAGATTATAAACAAACCTTAGCTCCATCTTTGTTTTTTAAATAAGGGACAACAATGCTATAAAATCAATCCTCATAGCAGACGGCATCAAACCAGCCACTTCGAGACCGATTGTAACGCGCTCCTGCAGGTCCGCCGTGAGTCCAACTATCCCACATATGATATGTCTTGTAGACTACATATTCAGGCAAAACTTGTCCATCTGCAGTTCCAGCATATATTATGCTAATGACAGTCTTCGTGGAGTTAACTACCCTTTCAAAGTACTTGGTGCCTCTCTTGAATATAAATTTTTTGCCCCTGGGTTGTCAGTTAGATTGGTGTTTCACCCTAGCTTTATTGAGCTTGACATTTACTGCCTTCGATCATGGTGTACTGTATGACTATTCGAAATAGATTACCTGGGGTGAAGGCCTTATGCTCCATCCTGTAGCCTCTGGAAGATACTTGACGTTCTGGTTGAATCACTGGGTTTATTCAAATAAAACTATCACCCTATATTTGAATTGGATATATTCACTACTTGCTGATTTCACATTTTACACATTTTTTAATTGGTTACATAAATCTGTTAAATCTATTGATCGATTACATATTAATTTTTCGTAAATCAACTCGCACAATGCTTGAAATTAATTTTACCGGTGAATGCCGGCTTTGTAAAAGTTTTTACGTGTTGGTGGTTTGACTGACAAAGCGAAAGTGATTCGTTTCGGTTTTACGTGCAAGCCTGCTAGCCCGCGACGGCTTTACCGGCTTTTTTCCATTGGTTATCTTAAATCGTATGTTTGCGTACGAGATCATTACTTTTAGGAACTGTCGTATGATTGGGTGAAAAAATCTCGCGCGACTCAGTTTTAATTGTTTGCGAAGACACAGGTGTCTGAAGGGTATTTGAAAGTTAACCGGTTTACTATTTCACAACTTTAGATAATTAGTTTATACAGGGAGTGTCTATCTAGTATTTAGCAGACTAGACATGTTGAATGTAATTTCAACAGTTGGTTTCGTCGAAATTTATTATTAGAGACGGCTCTGTGGTATTAAACATTTATTGGGCATTGTCAAAGAAAATGTCCAAATTTTGCCTATTTACCATCGCACGTTTGGTAGAGATATTCGTAGAAAATCGATTCGATAGTGAGTTTTTATTGTTCTTCAAAAACTTGAAGCCCAATCTCGACCGGGTAGATTACTTATATTCATTGCGGCCTTTTCTGTCAAGATAAGACTTTATTAATATCCTTAAGTCAGTAATGTCAAACGGAAAGCCCCCCAGGAAGCAACCACGTTCAGATAGATGTTCAACCAGCACTTTTTCTTCGTCGCTTGTTAAAAAGCAAGCCCTTCTTGCTGTAGGAAAAGTACTTTTTTGTCTTAGCTCGTAAAGCTAGGGTACACCTTGACACCCTATATTTTTTAGAATCCTTATTAAGGCTCAAACCATTATACTGAATATCACGTATGTCGTTTTGGAAGGCTTCTTCCGTATAGTTTCTGTACAGGGTATAGTTTTTCCATTTCGTGAATGGGTTAAAGTTCTTACGTAAATGCGAACCATTTTTATTTTAGGAACCAGAAGAGATTTTTAGCCTAAAAAAAGCAAATTCTTTGGTTATTTTAGAAAATGGGGCTATTTTGGAAACGCGGAGCTATTTCGGAAGAATACAAAATATCTGGTTTAAAATTGCCCCGCTTACCGAAAACACCCATATATTATTCTTAAAATACGTATTATTTCTAAGTAACAACACCCACACAAACTTTTTTGCAAAGCCTTAGCTGCATTCACTCATTTTTACTAGTGTGCAGTTTGACCATATTTATTTTCTTGCAAAAAAACGTATGTGGTTTGCCCGCGCCTAAAGCTACTAAACTTACCTCTACCAGCCCGCAACAAGTACTGACTGGCTTTTCGCGGTCTTCTCTGCAGCTTTGCCAGATGACCAAAACCGAATTATTGTACAATGTTATACAAATTATCGTTTTTTTCATGATATTTTCGTACGAAACTAGGATGATCATATTTCACTATATTTCGTTTCGTACTCTTTGAAGAATTACAATTAAAAAACCTCTACCTGTAGCTTTAGCCAACCAGCCGTTAAAATATGCCATACGCACATGCTTTACGATATTTCTGTGCTCTATACTATTTTGCAACTATTTTATCACTTAATTTAAGTCTTTTACTTATCGAACGTTCCTCATTTTCACTGCTGGAGGACGACGAAGACATTTTAATAGAAAACTCACAAAAAAACTAAGTACCTAACTAATCTCCAAACACAAATTATATAAATAAACAAAAATAAATGCATTAACAGAAACATTATACCTCCTTACCTCTTGCTGAAAATCGGCCCTCTGTAATTCGGGGAATTACAACAAAATTCCAACCAGCGCTACAGCGCCAATCGTAAGAATCTCAAGGTCAGCATAATATATGAA